ATTGTCATGTTTTTAGTGCATGAATCTGAATTGAACAACCTGATAATGCTCACTCTGGTTATTGTTATCTGGTTGCTCACTACGTGCTCTTGCGCGCCGAATCCAATCAATTAAAAATGAAAACTGTTGCCAGCGCGAGAAAAGAAATATCATCGGTTTTATTGATACATACATACATACGTACGTATTAGCGTTTTATATAATATAGATAGATAGTCAGTAAAGTTATTTTCACAATACAATATTAAGTAAGAATCATTAATTTAGAATGCATCTCTACACTCATTATTAAAATAAAATTAAATTGTAAATCTGCAATCCTCGAAGCGCAGTTAGAATTTTGAGATAAATTCCAACTAGGCTTAACAGAACAGAAACCGATATAAATTGAACGTTATAAAATCAATTAATGCAGTTCTCAGAGATTTGAAAATTAAAATATAATTATCTTTATTACACAACTAGAAATATACATACATATTTTAACGGCGAATTTCTTCTTTTAATGATGAATATCAACGTTGAAAACGGCAACAAACTCTCGCTAGCTCATTTCAGATAGTAAACTCGCTATATTTCACTTGGCATTTCTTGATATTCAGAACAAGCCAACATAAGTGTTTTCGAAAGTGAAAATAACTCTCATGTAGTGTGAAAGCTTGAGAGTTTTTGTGTAAGATTATTCGATTTTAAGTGTTCAAGTTTAAATTAACCCTTAAAATCGCACAAAGGGTTTTTCACGCAATTTTTTGGGAAGCTCAAGATTATATATAGAACGATATTGCATCGTAGTTTTAACAATATACAGAATGTCAAATTAACAAATGCTGATCAACATATTCTAAACACTTATTTGATTATTCCAATTGATCTTCTAGGTAAGACTACTACCCCAGATGATACAGATGATGAGGAGGAAGATTTAGTTTTCAAGTGTCCCTACATATGGGGTTCCTTCCCTCATCCCATAGAATGTTCGAAATACTATGTGTGTGTGTACAGCATACCTACACTGTACCAATGCCGGGGAAGTGATTTGTATGACGAGAAAAACAGGAAATGTAAAGATAAAAGAAGAGTTAAATGTGGAAAGAGATTAGACAGAGACCGTAAGATATTTTACTTTTAGATCTTCTAAAATTTTAATTTGTACAAAGTCTGATAGATATAGAACTCAAAGTAATAATTTTAAAAAATGGAGGGGGGGATAATAAAATATACAATAGGATTTTTTAATATCCCAAAGAAGCAATTCTTACTATTTCTATTTAATCGAAAGCAAATATTTTTCATGATAAAGTGGACATTTGTTTTGACATATTTTCGTCTATCAAATGACACATCATAATCATAAAATTTAGTTTTCTATATTGATGGATTTAACTTTTTAATTTCCTTGCTCATCCCCAAACTAAGGGTGCAATAGAATTTCAAGATTCTGCAACATATTTTTAAGTGATGTTGCATTGAATATTTTTACTATTATATAGAAGCTTTCTTCTGGAAATGTCATCATATGCCACCAGTGGAATTTCCCTATTATGGACTGGCTGTTCGTGCGTATTACAACAGGTCCTTTTAATTTTATTATAATATTATATAACCATTAGAAAGTATGAAATTAAGATAATTCATGAATTATCTTAATTTTATATTTTCTAATGGTTATAGTAAAAAATCACAATCAAATTTTCTCATAAATAGCTATTTTATCGATGTTTAATCATTGGCAAACATTGCAAATCAGCCGCCAAATCACTATACTATAGTGCAGCTGTTTTTGGACCTACTTGAAGGTAATGTACGACAATCATCTTTTTTATAACCGGCGTTGAAAAGCCGGCTCAATTCTGAGTTTAAGACTATCAGTATTCAACTTTATAACCTTGTAATGTTGAATCCAACCCGGAAGGCAAAAGAACTCCTAGATCTAGCGTTGGGACAAACTAGCCTTCAAGGAAGACTCTTTGATAGAATTCACCCACATTCGCGTTACACGGATAGAAAAACTAAGAAAACCTCGCCCAGTTTGTCCTACAGCAACGGGATTCTAATCCATTATCCGTCGACCATTGAAGATATTATCCGTCAGCACTGCACTCAGTGCAAACTGGGAGAAAAATTCGTATCAACCCACCACCGATGAGATTCGAACCTGATTCACTTTATTTGAAGGCAAACGCTCTATCATCTGAGCCACCGCGGCTCCTTACGGCAATAATTATTAGGAGAATAAAATTAAGATAATTTACACAAATATATGTACCTATTCAAATGCGCAGGAAGATCCTGTCCATAATTAGGAATCTCTCTGAGCGACCTACTGTTTCATTTCCAGCCACACGTCGCTATACATGCAATCCTTATATTGTATCTTATGTACCTCCCTTCCATTTCTGTAATCGCTATACTGAATCATCTAGTATAAAAAAGGACATCTGTCATAAATAAAATTCGGTTCACCTTATTTAAAGATACTGATTTTAACATATGAAGTATAGGTAATTAATTAATAGAATAAGTAAGGTAATTAATTACTTGATTTTTCTAACTCTTATTTACAGAAATGAAGACTAGTAAAAGGCCTACTACCAAATATTTGACAACCCCAACTACTCCAATAACACAACCGGAAACGTCAACAGAGCCAGAAACAAGAACAGAACCAGAAACAGGAACAGAGCCAGAAACAAGAACAGAACCAGAAACAAGAACTGAACCAGAAACACCAACAGAGCCAGAAGTTACAACTGAAGGTAAACGCAAGACATTAATTATATAAAAAAATAATAATAATTTTGCAAACCGAAGAAAAATATCTTTAGAACAAAATCATAACTACTGTGTTTTGTATTGAACAGAAGAAGACAGATTCCATTGCCCATTCCCTAATGGAAGTTATCCAGATCCTCTTGACTGTTCACAATTCTATTTGTGCCATTTCTCTAAATCAACCCATGAGAGATGTATAAATGGCACCCTCTATGATGAAAGGAAAGAACAATGTATCGATGCCAAATATGTGAAATGTGGAGACAGACCTGGCGGTATTGACGAGGATGGCAAGTAGCTTTTATTTTATTCTAAATTTAAGTTAATTCACTCTTAAAAATCTTGCAACGCTTTAAACCATTATAGTTTTTAAATATACTGTAATCTTAATACGGTAAATTAAGTTATAGTATAGATTAACCCGTTTTAAAGTTGAAAACACGATACAATGGTTCAAAATGGCCCAACTTAACACATTTATTATTTTATGCATGATATTATGGTTCAAGGAATCATTGTTAAGATTCAACGTTGAACTGATTTTTCTAAGGGTATAGTACCCTCTGTATTTTTATAATTAATTTCGAATAATATTTTTTAAATGAAAACCATTAGAATGTGTATATTAGTGAAATTTTGAATGCATACATTAGATGAAATTTCGCGAATAAAATTATGGTAGCATTTAAACATTTAAAATATAAGCTCCAAATTAAATAAAAAAAGCCAATACAAACAAAATTTATAATACAATGAATTAAATTACTAAAAAGAATGAAATAGGAATTCCAAATATATATATATGTGTGTGCGTGTATATTATATGTGTATATATGTATGTACCGGCACTTTTTACATAAATTGATCTAGAATTTTTCACGGTGTAGAAGCTACTTTTAAGTGTATCAAATGATTGTTATTTACCAACAGAATAAAGAATCTCGCACAATATGAATTTAGTGATATAATTTTTTTTTAAATGCTCAGCAATATTATACAAGTTGAAGATGTTTTCTTTCTTAACTCCTTTCTTGTGTTTCAGATGAGGAGGAAAAAGAAAAGAAAGAAGAATTTCATTGTCCATATGTATGGGGATTATTTCCTCATCCGGATGATTGTTCTAAGTACATCATTTGCATATACAACGTACCCACCGTATTCAGCTGCAAGAAGACGGAACTTTTTCAAGCCTACTACAGAAGATGTTTCCCATCCGAACTTGTCACTTGCGACTACAGACTCAACCCTGATGGTAACATTTTTGAAATTTTGTCACCAACAAAAAACAAATGAGCTAAAGCTGTCACTTGCAAAGCATAATAAATTTTATTACTCTATCCGGCCAAAAGTATCCGGACACCCGGTTGTTATGGTAGTGGAAGCATAACACTATCTGGCCAAAAGTATCCGGACACCCGGTTGTTATAGTAGTGGAAGCATAACACTATCTATCCAAAAGCATCCGGACACCCGGTTGTTATGGTTGTGGAAGCATAACACTATCTGTCTGGCCAAAAGTATCCAGACACCCGATTGTTATGGTAGTGGAAACATAACACTATCTGGCCAAAAGCATCCGGACACCCGGTTGTTATGATGGTGGAAGCATAACACTATCTGGCCAAAAGCATCCGGACACCCGATTGTTATGGTAGTGGAAGCATAACACTATCTGGCCAAAAGTATCCGGACACCCGGTTGTTATGGTAGTGGAAGCATAACGGTGTGGGGGTGTTTCTAGTGGTTTGGCCTGGGTCCGATAGTTCCTGCGGTAGGAAACGTGAACTCGGAGATGTATGAGGACATTCTGGACAATCCTGCATTCTCAACTATATGGCAATATTTCGGTGAAGGTCCATTTATCATCCAGCAGAATAACTGCTCCATACAACACATCGAGGCTTGCACAGATGTGGTTTAACAAAATGAGTGTTCAAAAATTGGACTGGCCTTCTCAGAGCCCCGATCTCAATCTCATAGAACACCTTTGGGACGAATTAGAGAGCAGATTACGTAGCCAGACAAATCAACCCTTCTCACTGTAAGCACATACTTCAGCTGTGATAGAAGTCAATTTCTATGGCCACCTATCAGAAACTGTTGGAAAGTCTTCCCAAATGTGTGCAGGCTGTCATCGATGCAAAAAAAGGGGGAGCAACATCATATTAATATGTGCCTCAGTACCAATGGGTGTCCGGATGCTTTTGGCCAGAGAGTGTAGATAAAATATTGTCCAGCATAGGATGTTAATCCTTTGAAGCAGATGGGACACCGGCGTCTCTTTTATATAAATATTTTTATGACTCTCTAATTACAAGAAATATATTTTGTGACTTTTAATTATAAAAAAGTCTAATAGTTATTGAAAACAATTTGTGAGATTATCGGAATTATATTTGTAAAATCGAAAAAAACAGTAGTTCGAAAAAAAGATTTCATTCATAATACATTATACATTCGTAACACAAAGAATATCTCATTCTCATTTGGAATTGAAGCGACCAATTTGTTCTACAATCTGAATTGTAGAGGAGTAGTGAGCACATGTTCGAACATTGCCTTCAAATCATCACCGAGAATGAATCCCAAGCCAAAAGCTCATTAATGTAGCTCTGGTGCTAGATTAACAATCAAAACTAAACTAAAACATAGATATTACAGTTAAATTACTTATAGATTTAAATTCTAGCCAACATATCCATAGATTAATTGCAGACTGCTTTAATTTAGAATGAATGTGCAGTACTCAAAAGCAAGTTTGCTATTGTTTTTATCGAACAATTTTGAAGTCAACAAATTTGCTTTCACTCGGTTCCGGGATTAATTTGGTGACGTTCTTATTGTAGAAATATTATCGAATCAAATCCTTAATTGATATTAGATAATTTAGGCTTGGAATTGGTACCATCATGAAAAAAAAATTAAGCGTGTGATACTTTGGGTACCTTACTAATAAATTCCAAAGTGAGTTAAAAATTTATTTAACACAAATTTGGAGCAGATTATTTTTATGCACGCTATGCTATGCTAACACACCACATATTTTTAATCAATAAAATAGAAAATTTAATTTAATAATTAACTGTCTCAGAAGAAATTACCATTTAAGCAAGATTTAAGAAAAATAGGTAAATAAATAAGAGTTTTTTTTATTGTTATTAGAGCTTTAATTTAACATTTCAAACTGTAAATTTCTCTTTACTTCATTTTTACAAAGCAAAATTAAAATCAGCGACGATTATACATCTCATAAATTCCTAACATAATTCTCATAAATTCCTTTAAGCGGACCCAGCTCAGTCTCCTTAAAATCTTTGCCAAGCTATCTCTGCCATACGTATTATTTTTATAAACTTCGTTGAACAGCAGAAAAATTTTGGGTTCACGACTAATGTTCAACTCCGTAGCCTTGCAATTTTGAAACTTATCCAGTAGACAAATAAACTCCTGAATCAAGTATTGGGAGAAATTTGCCTTCGTGGAGGACTTTTTGATGGAACACTCCTGCATTTGCATTACATGGAGAGAAATACCACGAAAACTTTCCATAATTATCCTGACGTCAAGGGAACTCTAACCCAGGATCCGTCTGGAACTGAGGATATTTTATGCCAGCACTGTGATCGCTGAGAGCCGGGTGCGAAATTCGTATCGACCAGTCATCGCTGGGATTTCAACTAGGTTCCCCTCATTGGAAGGTGAACGCTCTATCCCCTGAGTCAACACGGCTTTAATAATAGCGTGTTTGTGGGATAGCCTAATGTTCTATAGAAAAATAAATAGTTTTTCGCTTCTTTTCAGATCTAACTCTTCCACCAAGACTATCAACTCAGCCCATAACTACTCCGACAACTACATCAACAACTACTACTACACCTACGACTACTACTACTCCTACAACAACCACAACACCGACAACTACTACTACTCCAACTACTACCCCGACTCCAACTACTACCACTACTCCAACTACTACCACTACTCCAACTACTACCACGACTCCAACTACTACCACGACTCCAACTACTACCACTACTCCAACTACTACCACGACTCCAACTACTACCACTACTCCAACTACTACCACAACTCCAACTACAACAATGACTCCAACTACAACAACGACTCCAACTACAACGACCACTCCAATTACAACGACCACACCAACTACGACCACACCAACTACGACCACCACTCCGACTACAACCACCACTCCAACAACCCCAATCCCAACCTCCACTCAGAATATCAGCACGAAAATTCCAAAGCCTAACACACCGCCACCTACAGACTGCGATGAAGACGATGTTGATTGTATATATGACGAAACAAAAGATGTGAAAGGTTGGTTTGACTGTCCTGAACGTTACGGTCACTTCCCTCATGCCGGAAGTTATCAGCTCTTCATCCACTGTGATAACTGGAGACCGTTCATCAAGAGGTGTGCTGAAGACACAGCATTCTCACCAAAATATCTTGTTTGTATGTGGATTGCTAAAGATCCAAACTAACAAATAAAGTATTTATAATTTGACATGAAAATCTTAAGTTTTTTTAAAAAAGGAAAAACTGTTCTTTGTCTAAAACTGCTATTCCTTTATCAGTCAACTGAGTTTATGTAAACTTTTAAAAAAAGTGCATTGAAAAAATTTTAAATTATATTTTAATTCACTATACTACTTATTGATAAATATGAAAAATTATAATATCTTTCCAATTTTGTCCAAAGGATCCTTAACTAGTGACCTGTTCAACCGAAATCAGGTGTTTAATAGTACTGGAGAAAAGAAACAGTGAATCACAGAGAGCTAAAGAAAAGTTGCTTACTTGAATGGTTTTAGCTCATATTTGGTTTAAAGTTACAATTCAAAATTTATTTAACAATTCAATAATTTAAACCTGCACTTTCTATCAGCCTCTATGGTGAATATTTTTATTAAAAAAATATATAAACATTCGAACTACAAATATAGGGTGAGTTTAAAATAGCGCCGTCGCAAACATCATAATTAAACGGTCCAAAAAAGTTCTAATTTGAGTACAGAGGTGTAGCAGACAAAACACACAGAGAAACATATCCCCACTAGTTTTTCGCTAAAAAAAATTCTTAAATTTTAGTACACACAATATCATTTCAATTTAGTTTGAATAAAATTTATTGTATATTGAGGATGTTTTTGTTGTGTTATTTTGAATCAGCATTAAATTATGTCAGGAATTAAAATTAAAAGGAAAAAAACTTACTTTAGCATGGTTATAATTAAGAGAATTTTTAACAAAATGCAGTTAAAAAAATAGTTAAAATAGTTATGTAAAACTTTTGCAAGTTTTTTTTTAACAAAAAATTTACATAATGTTAGAATTTTCAACGCTTCTCTTCTAAAAAACTTGCCATTACAGCAGTGTTTAATGTGTAAAATATATCACAGAGATTAATTGAAATGTTGGCGTACATTTTTATCAGACAAATATCTGGTGTTTCAGTAAATGTTCAAAAAGCCGTTATCGCGAATACCAAAGATTATTCATGGTACAAGATTTTTGGAAAATAAACTGTAAGTATAATATTAAATATTCAAAAATCAAAATGCCCTTTTTTAAAATAGATATTTAAAAATCAAAATGCGCTTTTCTTCTTCCGTTCTTTTGCCATTTTTTTCGTACTCTTGTCTGAGGAGCGCAAAAACTTTGTTTCAACTTCCCTCAGTTTTTCATTATCCTATATGTAGAACTCTTTATCAGTTACTGCTTCAATTATTTTGTAGCGATGAATTAGTTTGTTGCACGCCTCCGTTTAAAAGTTAGTAAGTGCAACAACAAGCAATTTAATTCAAGACTCTTTAATAAGGTGAGAGCATGACTTCCGAAGAAAATTACACTCCAAATGTTCAAAGTAAGAAAAAAAATGTCACTTGGCTTGGGTAAGAGGTCGTGAGTTCGAACCCTCCGATCGAAAACTGTCACCGCAAACCAGTCGCCGTGTACAAAATGGTGACTAGTGCATGCTAAATTTGTCGGGGTCACAAAGTCTTTCAAGTTCCCTTAAGAAATCATTACCTTTGGAAGTACTGGATCAGAAATTGATCGTGCTCTGGTTCAGGTCAAAATTACGATTTCCGGCAAGTGGTTGGTGTGTGAATGTGTCCTTCCTGTAAAAAGGGATATGTTGTATCCGGATCATCCTCAGGGATGTTTCCCAGACCATCGCCAATACCCCATTGTGTAGCTCTAGTGCTGCGTAAATAAAAAGTACCAAGAACACAAATAAAAGTAAATGGAACTTGTTGTGTTTTTTTCAAATTTAGCTATTTTTCTCTAAATAGTTACAATAAATATTTTCAATATTACAAATAGGATAAAGTAGTAAAAGTTATATAAAATTATTGTAAAATGGAAAACTACAAATGCAAGGCGAAATCCTTAGAATTAAAGATTATTATTTAAAATTAAAGATTATTATTTAAAATTAAATAGAATTCATTTACTATACATACGAAAAAAAATCACATCCGTGAATTTTTTACATACAATGTGAACGGCCCTATTAGGCATTATGATCTGCCCAACACCATGTGATTAAATAGTTATCTTGAAAAGAGCTTATTGATTCGACATGGGTTTTCAGACTAACAGAAATAGGCACTTAAAATCGTTTTAAATAAAAACTTTTTTTTCACTATGGCAACACTTATTTGTTTACATCAGTCAACATGTCGCCGTCCAGCGAATTTGCTCTAACGTTTAATATTTTAAAAACATGCTCAACTACAAAAGCCAGGGCATCTATTTTGACGTTGCCTCATGCAGCAGTCAAAACGCCGGTCTTCATGCCGGTTGGAACTCAAGGTACTCTAAAAGGATTGCTCCCGGAACAATTAGAAGAATTAAACTGCAACATGATGTTATCAAATACATACCATCTTGGTATGAGGCCGGTAGGCGCAAAACAATATTAATTTTATTTTCCTTTTTATGTTCGGTGAACTGACCTAAGTATATAATCATTTTTTATTCTGTTTCATTTTATTTGTAAATAAGTTTTTTTTTTAATATTTACCATTATATTAAGTTGATATTAAAGTTTGAATTAATGACAGAAATATGAGCTTCTTATATTATTTCTTAGTTGATATTTTTCAATTATCTTCGCAATGAAAAAATTTTATTTGATTTTAGGGACAAGATGTTATTGATAAAGCTGGAGGACTTCATAAATTTATGAACTGGAAAAATGGACTTTTGACTGTAATATTCTTGATTTGTTATTAATTATTTCCACAATTAATATGTTTTCATTACTTGTTACTTATTTTACTAGCTTGAAAAATTGCATTTTTTATTGAAAGCATCAGTTTTATAGATTTTGTTTTGCGATGGTTTCATAGTTTTTGAATTTTTATGTGCTCTCATTTCTAAATTTAAACATATATACAATATTAGTGATAGTGATGCAACTGAACTCCAAGAATTTATCATAATCGCCGATTGCTCAAAAATTGCATTTAACATGAGATTTTCAAGCTGGCAAATTGCTGTGACATGTTTGCTCAACATTTTAAACTGTTAAGTGTTTTGCCCACATTCGGTAACCAATTAAAAAAGTAGCTTATCACTATGTAAAAGTAACTTAGTATCACCTTGAAATTGTAATAAGTATTAATAACAAGTTCCAGCCCGTGTAACATGATATGTAAATTACTGGAAAATTGGTAAGTCAATACGTAAAATTGGCATAATATTGACGGAATGATATTACCATTGAGATATTTGGTAAAAAAGCTTTGGTACATTTTATGTAATATTAACAGAATGGATTTTACCAACTGCTCTTCGGTAAAATTGTTTGGTATATTTTACGAAAGATGGACCAAATCCTATTTTCTATTTAGATGTACCTATTAAAAATAATTTTGTATATATTGCGTACTATTGACAAAGCAAATTTACCCTTTAAATTTCAATAAATTTCGGTTTGAATTTATTATTCGGTTCGAATTTATTATATATTTATAAAGTTTCGCTTTATGTAAATTTTGACGTACTGTTGACGTAAATAATATGTAAAAATAATGTACTCCTTCTTGCCTAGTAAAAAGTTGTGGGTTAAATATTCTTAAAATAAACTAATTTGTTTACGTAAATTTTAAATTTTTTTAGGCTACCATTTTTTGCTATATTTCACCATTTCAACCAACGTAAATTTTGGAGGATTATTGACATAAATATTGTGTAAAATATTATTCTACTAATTACTTATTCTTTCTTAGTAAAAAGTAGTTGGTAAAATATTCCTAGAAGAAATTAATTTATTTACGTAAATTTTACGCTTTTCGGATAATAAATTTTTGCTATATATCGACTTTGCAGTTTTACTTAAATTTCACGAATGCTTAGTAAAATTTAAAGGTGAAATATGTGCACTTGTGAAGTAAAATTAATGATTCTTTGCTACCTGGGAGATACGTAAAAAATGCACACGTCTGAAAATTATTTGCAAAGCAAATTTATTGAACACTTTTCAACAACTTGTCTGCATATGTGTGGAATTTCAATGTTTTACTAACGGGCAATTTTAAATTTTTTACTACCAGAGATGCCACCTTGCTCCACAGTATTTTCTACTGGTAACGAAATTTAAGTTAATTTTAGTTTAGTATTTTTCATTTTAAGTGATTTTGCACCACTACATATCAAAAATTTAAAGTATGATATGAAATACAACTTTATTGCATATATCTCACGGTTACTCTTTTAAAGAGTAAGCGTAACTATCCTTATTCTACAAGTTTTGCTATTTAATTTGCTACCAATTGATTAAAGCTTTTGCAGAAAGTGGAGCAGTTGGCATCCTTGTCTTACTTTTGAAATGTATGCTTTCCTCCAAGAGTTTGTAAAAATTATTCTGCTAACGAATTGTAGCCTTGAAACTTGTGGTTTGAATTTGCAGAATTACATTTATATTAGTCCTCTTCTACTTTTAGTTTATTTAAATTTACGCATGTACTTTAAAATTATTAGTAACCTGTGGTGTGTATTTTACAAAGTAATGCTGTAAAAAGGTATTTAATATATAATAGGTATTATATCAGTTTGAATCTGTCACATAGGCAAATAATAGATTTGTACTTTTAATGTCAAGCTGACAACATTTTATGGAAAGGCTTTTGTGCAATTTTATGTTTCTAATCTATTCCAGTTATGTTACTATTAATTAGCTATGAAAGCAACTTATAAACTTAATGATGCGGAATGAATTTGTCGAAAGAAATTAATCTCCATTCTGAACTTTTATATTATTATAATTAACTATAATATAGTTATAAGATATCAATATAGAACTATGATATAGTTTTAATTAAAAAGACTGTCTATTTGGCAACAGATTTACAAACCAGGTCAACTGTGATATGGTGAATGTTATTAATTTTCAATGTACCCTCAATTGCTAATCGATATTATATTTTTCTTGCTTTGATTTGTAATTTTTTCTTGAGTTGCCAGTGAAGCAGTCAGTTGAATAATGAAATATTTTACCTTTCAGGACAGTGGTGGATTTCAGATGGTGTCGCTTGTAAAGGTGACTAGTGCATG